TTTTCTGAGTCACCTAGAGCCGCCTGGCTTGCCAAAAGACAACCAAAACCAAATTTTAAAGAGAAGATGGCGGTCGTCTGAGTGCCAGGTATGAAGCAGATCGATAATGATGTACAGATACGTCACTTTGGCAGCCTGCGAAAATATTCAACTTTGAGAGAAATAGCCTGTCGATACCTTATAGATCGAATTACAGCAGGCGGTCTTCTTCAAGGCTTAAGTCAATAGCGAGATTCGGTTGGAGAGAGACGGACAAATGCTGAGAAACTTCGGCACCTTACCAGCGAGATGCTTAATTATTACTTGTTTTATCGATGTGCTTTTCACTGCATTACTTTGAAACGTAATCGGGAGTTACTTCAAAGACCATAATAATCGTGAAATAAATTGATTCTAACGCTACAGCAGATTTCCGAGCAAGTGACCGTTCCTGTAATTAAGCGAGCTAGTAAACGACCCCCGGTGGTCGCTGGTCAAGAACCATAGTGAAAATTGAAATTAACTTCTGGACCGATCCAGTGCCACTTTAATACCGAGGAACACACCGACAACAATGCCAATTGATATCATATCGAATTTCTTCAAAAGGTGCTTCTCAGAAGCTGTCCAAGTTCACACGACAAAAAATGTTGTGAGCCTGGACTCTGAGCTGAAAATGTCAAAAGCGTGGATTAGGCTACAGAAGAAAATTGCACTACCAAAGCTATTCCGATCGGACGTAGGAAATCAAAGAGCCATTTAGTTACTACCTACGGAAAATGACCAGTGCGAGATGGCCGATGGTCAAGACCAGCCTTGCTAATCAGTGAACTAATATTGAGATAACATCAGATCGCTGACTTGTGCTTATAGATGTAAAAGAATATAGGTGAGTTTCATTACTTGGTTGATGAAGGCTAGGAACTCCGGGGAGACACTGTCCCATATATGCAGGAAATTGTCGCGTGAAGTGAAAGTTTTCCATCGTTATTCGTGTATTTATGGTGTAAATGCGACTTTTGTTGTGCAACATTAGCTCTTGAAATAAATACTGTAGAATATGGCTTCAGTATTGAAAACCGAGGAGTTGACATACCGCATAAAACTAGTTTTTTTATTACATGAGATGATGCATGCATATTTTGTTTTATTTTAATGAACAATTTCTAGAACTGTGACAGAAAATGGAAAGTGAAGATTCCGGACAAATACATCATGAATGAGGGTGAAAAGACGCAGAAAGTTTTCGATCTTGGAGCCGTCAACCTGCACGCGATCTTGAAAGGCGAATCCAGGGACTGTTTACATTGATTCGATTGATTGCACGCCGTTCCGTTTGTACAACATGCTTGGATTTCCGCCAATACCAGGGAAGTTCGGTCAATTCACTCCACGTGAATTTTCTTTGTTGTTGTTGCCATCGTCATCAGAGAATAATCGAGATTTTGGCACAGATTTTCTGAATTTTACATCGTAATGACGTCTTTCCCATAAAAGAGCAAGACAAGTCATTTTTGAGGCTCATATCGGTATCAAAGGATGACTTGTGGGTAAATTCTGTTTAACTTAATCGTCATTACACGTTTGAGCTTGATTTTGAACCTCTGCTTGTCAACATTTCATTCAGTTATTTTTTTGGTTGCATCGAAGACATCAGTTGCCAATTCTAGTGAATATTGATGAGTAGAATTTTCGCACAGACAGCAACTCGTTTCAGGTACGCCCAGTCTGTTATTTGCAGTGTGATTCGCAGAGCTTATGAAATATGCTATACTCATGCTGAGCTTATCTGAATATGGTTTTCGTACAACAACAACAATCTCCGCCATTACCTATGTGTTAGAAATGAGCTGCTTGCGGAATTACTGATCTTATGATACAAAAAGAGCAGTGTGGCCTAAGGTGAGGCTGAGGCAAATGTGACCAGATTGTTGCGGAATGGTAGGAGTTCTTTCCTCCAGTTTAAATGTGCTTTGTTGACGTAAAGAAAGCCTATAGTCGGATCCCACGGAACTAATTATGGGGGTGTCTGCAAACCCGTGAGGTCGATGGCCATTTGCTACCAGCCATCCGGTCACTCTGTGCTAATGGCATGTGCTGCGTCAAATGCGTAAATGGTGTCACTTCAAGATCCCTCATTATTGGCAATGATCGTCCTCAAGCCTGCGTTCTGTCTCCTCTCCTATTCATGTTATACATTGATAAAGTTTGCAGTAAGGAAGATGAGTGCATCAGACTATGATATATCGAGACAAAAAGATTACTGCTTGTAGTCGACACTGTTTTGTTCGCACATCCTGAAGTTCTGCAATTACAATTGGTTTGCATGCGTTTTGTGACTCGTGGCTATCGGTCGTCCTAAATACAGCTTCGGTGACGGCACTCATTTAGGGAGTATCATCTAACAACTGACCTTCTGATTACGTCCTCAAATTTAGAAAATCTGTTGACCTGAAGATTGTTTCTTCTATGTAACGCTTCCCGCTGCTTCTTGGGCTGCGCTCGAAAGCACGAAAATGCTGGTTTAGTCTTTTCTGCGTATCTCCTTCTACGACGCAAGACATGCAATAAACTACCGTCAGATTAGGTATCTAATAAATAATAATCTTTTATTACTGAATATCACTGACTGTACGTGCATATTTTTTACTTCTAAATTTTACTTTCTTTTGTCTTGCCGTTTCCCATTAAAACGTCCCTTCCCATTTGACGCAGACTCATCAGCGTTTTCAATCACATTTTAAATGTATCAGTTGCTTCATGTGGTATATAAAGTACTTTCTACTGCTCAGTCCATAAGTAATGCTATTAACCAACAGCAGCGACGAATTGGATGCAGCGCACGATGAAACCTACGGTGACATCCCTAACGCTGAATTGATTCGGTATACTATATCCAAGCAGCTTCAGCGTACTTCCACCCATCGTCTAGGCTATTTATTGATAGAGTGGTGTTTCCTGGCAAAGCTTTTGTCTCCAGCCATTGGATATTGACCCGCAGTAAACGACGGGGGGTCAATATCCAATGGCGTTTTCAGAACCAACGACAAGGTTTTGTCTACAACGCAAGATTTCTTCATGCTCTCTCTGCGCGGAAAAGGGCCAAAGGAGTTGTCCATATTTTGCCTTCGTTCTGCTTTTCGGATATGGTGATCATAAGGTTTTTAGGTTGCACGGATGATCTTATCATTGTTCTTTCATGTTATTGGCTCAAGAACGAAAAGGATATGCGCAGCTGTTAATATTGAAAAACAATCATTCGACATGGACCTTGTAGGATGAGAAAGGAGGAGGGTTGGAGACCGTGGCAAGTCTCCGTAAATTCAGCCACCTGCCACTCATGGTATTGACGCCTTCGAAAATTATACCGGCTCGGTCGTCGCCCGGGT